TGAAAATAGAAAACAAAAAAAAAAAAAAAAAAAAAAAAGGGCCATGATGGAAATAGAACACATTTATGTTTGGCAGAAACAAAAAATATATATAATATATTTTTTTTTTTTTTGACATTTTCAAAATTTCGAGATATGCTAGTATTAGAGGATAAAATATAAATTTAAAATGGATTTTTAATCGGTGAATTGTCCAAAAATAAAATTATTTTTAATTTTTTTTTTCTCTTCACCCCTGCCTCGCCAACCCATCAGGACGGGTTTTTTTGCCATCAATATACCTAATTTCTCAATTTTTCTAATTAACGATAGTTACCAAAGTTATCAAATTGAATTCGTAAGTTAACCCAATCAAAGTATCAAGTTTCCAAATTTGCTTAGAAGATAAAAGGTACTAGAACCAATATATCTCGTTATATGACATTATAAATCTACAAAAAAGCCACATGGCCACGACAATCGCCTCTCCAATAAGGGGCGCCATGTGACAACCCTCTTTTTTGGTAAAATTTGTCATTAAATTAAATTGTTCAAATACTAACATTTTTACACTTGATCGATCATGCCGTGTGAAATAAACATGGAGCTAAGATATGTTACTTTTAATTGAAAAAGTAAAAATCATGATATTGGTTAATTTAAATAATAATTTATGGTCAACACAACTAAATAGAAAAGAAATAACTAGTTGTTGAATTAAATTATTCATATATAAAATCACATTTTTCAGGATAGCGAAATATTTCAAGTGAAACAATTCAAACAACCCGAGTATGTCATTTTTATTGAAAATGTAACATAGTACAATACTTTATCTAAGATTAAAAACTAACAGCCAATTATTGGATTAGATTGTGTAAAATAACCTATACTTCAAAGATATCGTATAAAAAAAATTCAAGAAACTAACAAATTTAAAATTACGAATCAAATATATAACTAGTAAAATAACATATGTTACTTTCTTTCAAACATATGTTACTTAACATGTTACTTTAAAATGAGAAATCTTTACATCAATAAAGAGTTATATGATTCAATTTTACGAAGATAAAGGAACTTGAATTATGAGTTCAATTTGGCAAGTTTTGGTAGTGTGATCTAACATGCATGGGGTTGATTATTCTTATTTTTATTTTTATTTTCCCTAAAGGTAATATACAATGTAGGGGTGTCAAAATAGGTGGACCAAGTTCATCAGCCCATTTAAAATTAGACCCAGTTTGACCCATGTGGGTTTGAGCCAACCTTTCTAAACAGTGGAAATTAAAAAATCTAATACATTTAAAGATTACATATCATAAATCATAGGCAAAGTTTAATCTTTCAAAAATCAGATTTCTTTTTATAAATAAATATATTAACTCGCTCTATCTATCGTCGATGGTCTTGGTGGCGACGGTGATGGATACAAATCAATTTGTCAGCGTCCAGTGTTGTAATTTTTTTTTTAAATTGAAGATGATTGGGCAAAGGTGGTGTGGTGGAGATATGGATTGTGGTGGCTATGTAACAATGGTGATTTTGGAGACGCCGTTGTTGCTCATGAATGAAAATTTAGTATTGGTGGCAACAGTGGTGGATACAAATTAGATCTTGTTGTAGCTGGTGGCGTGGTGATGTCGATGGTGTTTGTGTGGTGACGATGCTGTGGGCAGCGCTGTGGTGGTGATGGTGTTTATGTGGTGACGGTGCTATGGGTGGCCTATGGTGGTGATGGCATTTGTTTGGTGATGGTGCTATGGGTAGCTTGTGGTGGTGATGATATTTGTGTGGTGGATACAGATCAATTTGTCAGCATCGAGTGTTGTAATTTTTTATTTTTTAAATTGAAGATGATTGGGCAAAGGTGGTGTGGTGGAGATATGGATTGTGGTGTATGATAATGGTGGTGGCTATGTTACAATGGTGATTTTGGAGACACCGCTGTTGCTCATGAATGAAAATTTAGTATTGGTGGCGACAGCGATGGGTACAAATCAGATCTTGTTGTAGCTGGTGTCGTGGTGGTGTCGATGGTGTTTGTGTGGTGACAATGCTGTGGGCGGCGACATGGTGGTGATGGCGTTTATGGGGTGATGGTGTTTATGGGGTGACGATGCTATGGGTGGCCTATGGTGGTGATGGTATTTGTGTGGTGGATCTAGCGGTTTGAGTGAGTTTTGTGGAGGTGACTATGAATTTGCGATGGCGGTGGTGTTCTGTGTGGTTGTGGTTTTGGTGACGATGGTTTGCGGTGGTGCTGTTACAAGTTATAGGATGATGGTGGTGGTGCGGTAGTGGTGATGTTTTTTTGGTTGTTGGAGTAGTGGTGGTCGTTTGTTGTTGGGAATTTGTGTGGTTTTAGCATTGGTGAAGCTGGCGATGCTGGTGGATTTGACGAGGTGGTGGTTGGCGATGTTTGCAGTGGGTGGAAAGAGTATTTGTGACCAATTATGTTATAATCATTAAATTGTTAATTTGTAATCGGTAAATAATATGTGGTCGAATATGTGATCGTGACTAAATTTATAAGACGTGACCTGTAATTTGTTACTGTGACTTACAATTGATTAAGTTGTGACCAAAAAGTTAACCGTGACCAATTAATCTAATAATTTGAAATGAATATACGAGTTGTGACCAATAAAAGTTTTGATTCTATGACCAATGAATAATCTATGACATATAAAAAAATTTATTCGTGACCGAAAAATAATATATAACCTATAAATTTTTTGATTTGTGACCGAGAAATAAATTGTGACTAATAAATTAATAAGTTTGTAACTAGAAATTAATCCGTGACTAATTAATTTTTTGATTTATGACCGATGAACAAATAGTGACTTGGCAAATTTTTGGAATTGTGATTGTAAAATAATTTGTGACATAAAATTTCCGATTTGTGATTAAAAAATAATAAATTAGTAATTAAATTGTTAATTCGTGACCAAATTGTATAAATTTGTGACCGAAATATATTAAATTAATAAAATAATTAATTAAAAAATTAAATCACTATTAAATTTTAATAAAAATATGATTTTTGAATTTTGAAATTTGTTTTCTTAATTTTGAAATATACAATACTTAATCTCTCACTTATGAAATTTCCCCATCTAAAAATATGATTTAGGTTAAGCCAAGACCATCTTCAAAATTAAAATTTGGACTGGCCACAAATAATGACGAGCCTACAAAAAGATGCATTTAAATATGTGCAAATTGGTTAGATCCACACTTTATGATTCATGTAAGAGCACATGTAAATAAGTCATTTTATTCCACTAGCAAAATATAAAACTGACACTTCCCATCATCATCTCTCAAAACAAATTTATAACGTCTACAAGGATTTCAGCATTAGGAGTTAAATTACATATAGAATTGAGATCTTATACAATATGGAGAACATCATACTTGGCTAACCCTATATTGAAATCGCGTGAAGAAGCAAATGGCATGCCTTCTTCAAGATAGTAGCCCCAGACTCTCTTGTAACAAGAAGCCAAATACTAACGTAGCGAAAGGTTATAGGAAAGATGAACAAATTTCACAAAGATGAAATTCATGAAAAAAATTATTTCTCTCAATCAATACGGCCACAAAGAGCTTACAATGCTTTATATAGGAAAAATTCTAGGAAAATTCAGAAAAAAATAATAATAAAAAAGTATTTTTTTCAAAAATGGAAAAATTCGAGATTATGATTAAAATTGAAAGTCCTAATCTTAAAGGTTATTCTCTAACAAACGAAATTCAAATCCAACTTAAATTGAAAGAGATATAACCAAAATAAAATTTACCGAAAAAGGAAAAATGTTTAAATAAAAACCTAGATGAAGGAATTTGCCTAAAATTGAGCCTACTTCAGGAGTAAAGCTACTGAATTTTGTGCATTGATCCGTTTCCAATCAAATTTGACTAAACTTTCGCAAAAAATGGACAATCCCAACATTTCTCCAAAAATCTGGAAATTGCCTACTTCTACATGTGCCGATCCCATTTTTCCATAAAGTATAATTCCTTCTGCATCACACCATTCCCCACTGGTTGAGAAAAATTTGCCCTCGAATTTGGTGGGGAAGTAACGTCATCATCATAATTATTACCTCAAAATGGCACCAAATGATTGACATTAAAACATTGGATGTACAAATGTGATTGGGCAGCTTCAAACGATATGCATTGGAATTAATCTTTTTAATGATCTCCAATAGACCAATTTTGCTTGCAGAAAGCTTGGTACATTCATGAGCAGGAATATGGTCCTTTGTCAACACTACCCAAACAAAGTTACCAACCACAAACTCGACATAGCGATGTTTAAGATCCGCATCATGCTTATGCTTAGTAACAACAGCTTGCAAATGATCACAAGTTTGTGAAGGAACTTGCTGCAACTACTTAATGAA